TTAAGTCTTACCACAAAATGGACAGAAATAGATAACTATGTATACTTTCAACTATAGAGTGGTTCATTAATTCCTCATCTCACTGAACACTTTACACTGGTAAATATTCTCTTTCTATGATTGTGGATTCTGATCCTCTCACGCTCCTGTGTATCTGGCTTAACTACATATGCTGGAGACCAGTGCTCATGCCTGTAATCCTAGCTATTCAGGAGGCCGACACCTAGAGAATAGAGATTAGAATCCAGTCAAGGCAGAGCCTCCATCTTCAATTAACCAGCAAAAAGCTGAGCTGGAGGTATGGCTCTAGTGAGAGTGCTAGCTGTGAGAAAGTGGTAAAGTACCAGCCTTGAGAGGAAAAGCTAAGGGACAGAGGCCAGACCCTGAGTTCAAGCCCATGTACTGGCACCAAAAACAAACAAACAAAAAAAGTAGAACAAGTATGAGGCCTTGAGTTCAAGCCCTGGTGCTGACAAATCAATCAGCCAATAAAAGACCCTAATGAGCCAAGCACAGTGGCTCATGCCTATAATCCTAGCTACTCAGGAAGCTGAGCTCTGAGGACAACTGAATGTTTAACAGGAGTTCCAAAATAAAACACCCACTCCTTAAAAGATATTATTGTGACTGCAGGCACCGAGGTCCTTCTCTAAGGAGAGTCTATACTGTTTTCAAACAAACTTGCTCTGTCTACTTTAAAAAAGGAAAAAAAAAAAAAAAAAGGAAGCGACACTGTGGCTCAAGTGGTAGAGCGCTCGCCTTGAGCTAAAGAGCTGAGGGACAGCGCCCAAGCCCAGAGTTCAAGCCCTACACTGACAAAAAAAAAAAAAAAAGATATTCTTAACAGGCTGCCACAGAAAAATACTGAATTCAAGGCTACAAACGAATCCTGTCTCAAAATAAATTCATTTTTAAAAGACATGCTACAACCAGGTGCCAGTAGCACACGCCTGTAATCCCAGCTACTCAGGAGACTGAGCTATGAGGATTGTAGTTCAAAGCCAGCCGCAGCAGAAAAGTCCGAGACTCTTATCTCCAATTAACCACCAGAAAACCAGCAGTGGCATCATGGCTCAAGTGGTAGAGCACTAGCCTTGAGCTGAAGAGCTGAGTGAGGGACAGCACGTAGGTCCAGAGTTCAAGCCCCATGAATAACCAAAAAAAAAAAAAGGACATGCTACAAATTTAAACAAAATACTCATAAGATTTGCACCTAGAATCAGAAGAAAACTCTCACCAGCAAGTAAAACAACCAATAAAAATATGGTCAAGGGCTGGGAATGTAGCTTATTGGTAAGAGTGCTTGCCTAGGCAGCATACATGAAGCCTGAGTTGGATTCCTCAGTACCATATAAACAGAAAAAGCCAGAAGTGGCACTATGACTCAAGTGGTAGAGTGCTAACCTTGAGCAAAAGAGGCTCAGAGATAGTGCCCAAACTCTGAGTTGAAGTCCCAGGACTGTCAAAAAAAATAAAAAGAATAGCAAAACATGCCTAGAAAACACTAGGAGCTGAGTTCAAACCACAGTACCATCAAAAACAAAACAATAAACAAAAACAATACCAGACACCAGTAGCTCACTTGTCATCCTAACTACTCAGGGGACTGAGATCTGAGGATCACAGTTCCAAGCCAGATGAGCAGGAAAGTCTATGAGACTCTGAAAGTGGAGCTGTGGCTCAAGTGATAGAGCACTATACTTGAGCAAAAGCTCAGGGACTACACCCAGGCCCTGGGTTCAAGCTCAGGACCAGCATTAAAAAAAAAAAGCTGGATGCAGTGGCAACCTGCAATAGTAGCTACTTAGTAGGCAGAGATCAGGTAATGTAGGTAGGCGGGTAGGTGATTGTAGTTCAAGGCCAATTGGGCACAGTGCTGTACACCTGTTATCCCCAGCAACAGAGGAAAAACAAATAGGAAGATCACAGCCCAGGTTTACTCTGGCATAAAGCAAGACCCTACTTATAAAATTATCAATGCACTAGGTAGTCTCTCACAGTGAGACCAAAGGAAGACATTCTGAGGGGAAGCACACAAAGGCACAATGCCTATATGCCTCTAATCATATAAAATAATATTTATTGAAATGAACTCCAGGAAATGGGAACAAGAAGGGCTTGGGGGGTTTTGTTTTTTCTTTTTGTCTTGTTTGTTCATTTATCTGTCTTTGGCAAGGTAAGAGAGGGGACAATGAAATGGAGGGACAAAGGGTAAACAAACATGGTAGTGGTAGTCACTAGATACTATGTTGAAAATGAAATACACAAGTAGGTGGAGTAAGGAAAAACTGGGAGTGAAGAAAGGGATGACACTGTCCAAAAAGAAGTGTACTCATTACCTGACTTAAGAAATTATAAACCTCTGTACATCATCTTTATAATAACAATAAAAAAGAATCAATATACATAGGAAAAGAACTAACAAAAACCAATACACAAGCTGAGTGCTCACACCTGTAATCCTAGCTACTCAAGAGGCTGAGATCTGAGATTCAGGGTTCAAAGCCAGCTAGTCCATGAGACTTTATCTCCAATTAACCACCAGAAAATTGGAAGTAGAGCTGTGGCTCAAAGTGGTAGAAAACTAGCCTTGAGCACAAAAGCTCAGGGACAGCTCCCAGACCCTGTGTTCAAGCCCCACAACTGACCAAAAAAGAAAATGAAAGATGGACACATACTGCCTCTGCTAAGAAGCCACAGAAGGTCAACTTCTAGACCAGAAATAGCGTAGGAAATCCTAGGACCCTCACACTGTAAATCATAATTATAAGCAATTTTTATTTGCCAATGGAAAAATATTTTTGAAAACAATATAAAACAAAACAGATGGGATGGGTAGTTGGCTCAGTGGTACAGACTTGCCTCACATGCATGAGGCCTTGGGTTTGATTCCTCAGTACCACATAAGAAGAAAAAAGCCGAAAGTGGCACTGTGGCCCAAGTAGGACTCTAGCTTTGTGCTGAAGAGCTGAGGGACAGCGCCCAGGCCCAGAGATCAGGCCCCATGACCGGACCCCCCCCAAAAAAAATTGTACAATTCTATTTATATAACATTCTAGAAAAGACAAAACAGAAAAGAGATTACTGATTGCCAAAAGCTAGGGAGGGAATAGACTGCTAAAGGGCAAGGGTGTGAGAGAAGTTTCTAGAGGGATGGAAATGTATTACATCTTGATTGTGGCAGGGGTTGCACTTGTGTATGTAATTTGTCAAAGGTCACTGAAAAGGCAAGGAGAATGGCTCAAGTGGTAAAGAGTTCAAAGTACAACACCACCAAAAAACATTTAAAAAGTCACTGAACTCTTTATGTAAAAGAATAAAACTTATTGGGTTCAAATCCTAGTACCACCAAAATATAAATACATAAAGCAATAGATAAACAGAGCAACACCTAATTCTAAATCTAATCCTTTTGCCAGTAAAAAAAAAAAAATTAAGAGCACAATTAGCAAAACTTGAACTATATCAGTGTAAATTTTCAACTTTTATGACAGTACTATGATTATGTTGGTGAATGATCTTGGTTGAATAAAATGTACACCAACACACTCGAAGGTGACAGGGCATCAAATCAGTAGCTTCTTCTCAAACTCTTCAGGGGAAACAAATAATACTTTGTACATTACTTGAAACCTTTCAAGTTTGTGGCTGTTTCAGAATTGTTTAAAAGTGGGGAAAAAAAAGAACAATATACCTGAAAACTAAACAAGGTTAAAAAACAAACTGACTCTTCACATGGTTAACTGGGAAAGAAAGCAATATTGAACTCTACAAAATTACTAGAAACTATAAAATTCTAGAGCCAGAAGATACTCTAAATATAATTCTCAACCCCTTCTTTTAATAATTGACCTTAAACAGGCAATGAGTTATTAAGAGATGAAAGAGCATGAAGGATTCCCACTGAAGAAAAGCAAGTTCTCACGAGAGGAATAATAACAGAGGCAGCAGGCTGAGTGTGGGAAGAATAATGGCATTCTGGCATTACCCATGGCTGTATCCATCACAAAACACAATCTCAGCATCTCTTTTGAAAAACGAAGAGGCAGTACAGCAGATGTCTAAAATTCCTTCCAAGTGTGGGACTAGAGTTACCCTGAAAATACAAGTGCTTTCCCAACTCAATTTATTATTACGCTAGCTAAATAGTAACGCAAGGGGAACAAAATGAATGTGCATGAGTTCTGAATACTCATCAATTAGCATATAAAATATAATGCACCTGCCAAATTGCTCCTTGCGAAGATGTTTATGACCAATAAAGAGAACAATTAAAACATCTTAACGAGAAACCAGATCACCTGCAGCGGCCAGCTGATCACCTTTGCTTACAAGACGACCCTCACCTCTATCCCGAAATAACGGGTACCATCTCCCACAAATGTTAAAAGGTGCAAGGATCCTTTTCCCTTTCCTGGTACCACGCAATTAAGCGTGGCGGTCATCGGGCCGCCGACACAGCAGGGGAGAGGTAGCTAGTGGACTCAGCACTTCCTTTTGGAGAGGACAGCCCCCCTCCCTGCGTCACTCCTCGCTCACTCAGGATACAGAGCAGAAGTTTATTCCCGAGGAATTTAGCACAGTTGGTTCCCGCCCTCCCAGCCCTGCAGTCCTGAGTCCAAACCCTCCGGCACGAGGGCGCTGCCCGGGGTTCTCCAGCCACCTCTACAAGAGAGGGTCGCGGCCTCTCTAGGCTCGACCACAGCAGGACCAGCTGGCCCGTCCCGAACCGGGCCGACGCGGCCTATCCTCCCTCCGAAGCCACCCCGCCGTGAGGGTCCCTCACGCCCACCCCGAGGCTCAATCCGGCCACAAAGGCCCGACGCGGGCCGGCTGCTGCTCCACCGCTGCCTGCAGGCCCTGCCCAAAGCGTCCCGGCCCGAGACTCTCCGCCTCCCCGCCTCTCAAGCGCGACGCCCGGCCCCGCGCGGAGCCCACTGGACAGAGGCCGGGGGCGGAGGCCAGGAGGCCCGGGGGCGGCGCCCGCCCCACACCCTTACCTGGCTTCTCGTGGTCGTAGCCTACCACAATGAAGTAGTCCGCCAGCCGAGCCATGGCCGCCGCCGCCGAGCTCGGGACGCGGATTCCCGTCGCCGCCCTCGACGCCGCCACCCACCCGACCCGGGAGGGCTCAGCATTTTCCCTGCAGCGGCAGTAGCGGCAGCGGCGGCACTTCAGCCATGTTTGAC